TCCAGACGTGTGTTCAGTTCTCCTTTCAGACGTAAAGCAACAGCTTTAAAAAATAACTCACAACTTGTTCATCCTTTTTATAAATGGTCAAACTAAAATGCAGTAAAAAGACATTTTAGATTGTAAGAGATTACTGCACAAGGATGTTTGTTCTGGTTTCTTGTTGCTGTGTTGCTTACTGCAATCCAACTAAAACGAAATTTGACATTCCATTAAAATTCATCAGATTTACAAAAAACAATGTAAAGAAATCCTTTGTGCAATACAACACAGAATGCAGAGAAATGCACACATTTTTTGCAATGCTGAATGAATTTGGAAAACGCACTGAAAATTTAATTTGATGAAACGTTCTTCTGTTTTACGACTCGTTTTTGTTTTATGAAACTTTCTTGTAGTTTGATTTGTTGTATTCTGCGCCGTCATTGTTTGGTGACCTTTTCTCCAGCAGAAAAGAAGTAAAACAGTTTGAAAAGTGGCAAAGAAGCCAACTCAGTTAAATTTATTACTAAAAATCAATACATTTTTAACCAATAGTGTACTACAAATACTAAAATGTAGATGTTGCTAAACTCAATAAAAATGAAAATCACATAAATCAGCCATAATGTTACAAATGACTAACAAGCAAGAAAACTGCTTGGTTTTGTTACATTTAAAAGCTTTACTGGGGGAAAAAAAGCATCTTTAATGTTATTTTGATTTTTGCCACAGTGGCACGGTGGTGCTGTTGGTAGAGCTACTGCTTCTCTGCAAGAAGGTCACAGGTTCAAATCCTGGCCTGGGTACTTTTCTGGGTGGAGTTTGCATGTTCTCTACACACGTGCGTGAGTTTCATCTGGGTACTCCAGTTTCCTCCCACAGACCAAAAACATTCATGTTAGACTGATTGGTAACTCTAAATTGCCCCTAGGTGTGTGTGAGAGAGTGAATGGTTGTTTGTCTCATTTGTCTCCATGTGTCCCTGTGATGGACTGGAGACCTGTCCAGGGTGTACCCAGTCTCTCACACAGTGACTGCTGGATATGGGCACCAGTGACACCCATGACCCGAATAGGAAGAAGTAGGTAAAGTGGATGGATGGATGGATGGATGGATGGATGGATGGATGGATGGATGGATGGATGGATGGATGGATGGA